GGGGCGGGCCCGCGTGGCTGTGGCCCCGCCCCTGGCCCCGCCCTGCCCGGCTCTAGACCGCCGGCTGGGGGCGCTTCCCTTTGTCGCTTTGCTTCATACCCAGAACAGTCTCTGTAGGTGACGTGGGCTGCACAGCACGATTATCTGACACCACTTGCGGTCTGGGCTGACGGAGCATTTTTACTTCATTTGGGTTTTTTTCTCCTTTATTTTTATTGAGTAAGATTCACATAACATAGAATTAACCATTTTATAGTATTTTATACCATCTTATATTACATATATCTTATGTATTACACATGCAGTGTATATATGTTGTATATTAAGTTGTGTAATTTTCCACAATTACCTACATACAGTTTTACGTAATTACAATATGACGTGATTGTACTAGATGTATATGCAATGCAATGTATAATGGAGTATGTGACAGAATGTGTAATGCATAATCTATAGTAATATATAGAATAAATGTTGTACATTATATAATATACATAACGTAGTACTTCATACCATTTAGTACATTCGCGGTGTTGTCAACCACTCTCTGATTCCAAAACAGGTTCACCTCAAAAGAAAGCCCTGTACCCATTAAGCAGCCTATTTTTAATTTTTATTTTATCTTTATTTTTACTTATGAATTAATCAATTAATTGGCGGCTGGCTGGTACAGAGATCAAACCCTGCCCCTTGCTGTTATCAGCACCACGCCATTTTTTATTTTTAAGCCATAGTTTTCTTGACTGTACAATTTTTTCCGGGGCTGGCCGGTTAGCGCGCTTGGTTAGAGCATGGTGCTGATACCACCGAGGTCAAGGTTTCGGATCCCCCCACCAGCCAGTCTCCAAAATAAAGAAGATTAAAGGCCGGCCCGTGTCTCACTCGGGAGAGTGCGGTGCTGATAACACCAAGGCCACGGGTTCGGATCCCATATAGGGATGGCCGGTTCTCTCACTGGGTGAGCATGGTGCTGACAACACCAAGTCAAGGGTTAAGATCCCCTTACCGGTCAGATTTAAAAAAAAAAAAAAAAAGATTAAAAATTTCCAGCCTTCTGCCCATCAGCACGCCCCATCCATAGCGCTTGGGTGCTGCCGACAGGTACAATGTCCTGCATGACTACACGACAAGCACCCAGCGAGGACCTGAGCGGATATAACGCCCGCTCGCAGATCCCACCCGAGTCCCCCAATTGTCCCAGCAGCGTCACTGCAGGATCCCCCGGGGCATGGAGCTGCCGGCTGTCTAGTCAGTCCCCTTGTCCCCGGGACAGTTGCTCAGACCGCCCGTGACTTTCACGCGCATGCTCGGAACGCGTGCGGGCGGCCCGTCACTTGGGGCTTTCCGAGAACACGGAGCGGAGGCTCTTGTCCTCGGGGGTGCCCAGTCCCGCCGCCGGGCTCCCCCGGGTCGGCCACGAGCCCTGACTTGTGCGCCTTCCCCACCCGCCGCAGCCC